CCTGCACTGGCCCGAAATACTTCAGTTTTTAGGCAGCCCCGTAACGGACGTGGCATTTAAGGCGATTGTGCTGGGATGTGGAACTCTCTGTGCGTGGATAACAGCCAACTAGCTGATACATACCTGAAGATGCCGAATTTCGAAGCCATGAAAGACGAGAGAATGGGATAAAATTAGCGAAGCATGGTGAGTTTAAGGAGACATCAAGTAGGATAAGGTACACTATTATATATAGAGGGAAGACTTGACGTCCACCGCTAATACGGTGGTGACAAAAGGTAATTATATGAAATAGGATAGCAATGGATTTTTACTTATTAGACCAAGGGCCAATCCAGGGTTGCGTTTGCCAACATGATATTAAAGTAGAAGATATGAAACTGCAGGAGATCTATTGCGATCCTGTATAAGCTCGCAGGGAGAACTCAGAAGCATAAGGACTGACGAGATGACGGACTGGTCTATCTGGTATTTATTACTTGAGTCGAGCAGTACCATAACCCAGGAGTGAAAGTTAGTGTAAAAGAAGTAGTCATCAGTTCATGCGTGCCACCTCACCAAATTTGCAAACCCCGATCTCTTAGACCCGGACCGGGTTGAAGGGCTTCAGCTATTGAATTAACTCTTCAGTGGTCTTTGCACAAGAGGGCAACACGAATAAAGCAACAACGCATCCCAGAAATTTTGTGGCTGGTAAGATCCCAAGCAAATAGCTGACCAGTCGGAGTAAGTGTAATGTAGCTCATGACGCTCGATAGCGATCGACCTGTCTCCTGTCCATCGTGGTGGATCCCGCCAAAAGCGAACGACATTTCCCCGCCGTGAAAACCATTCACCCCACAGTTCCATGATCAGAGAGACCTTTTAAGTCATATCCGGAGGTCATCTATAAGCCACAACAGTTAGAGAATGGCATGTTTCCTAGCGGATAAAAGGCGTGCAAAGCATTTACGAGAGGAGTGAAGTGTTGAAGTAATGATAGATAGCTGATGTCACTTTTCTCCCAAAAGAGTTTTGAGATTCGGTTAGGGGAGTGATGTGCACGTCAGTTTGGTCCCATTTGTTTCTAAGTTTATCGCATGTGCTTTCGCGCAGAAATGGAGCCGTCACTGATAATGCGGCTTTAGCGCTTTTAGGGGATGCACATTGTGATTACTCTTCACATGGCCATTGGGAAGTTCCCCAACATGAAAGTAAAACAAACCTATCAAAACCAACAGATATCTTCTTATATTAATTCTTGCTGCAAATAACTGTTTATAGTCTCTGCCAGTTAAGCCACAATCAACCCCATGTACGTGCTGGATATCGCGCAGGACCCCTGGTCAACATTAGAGCAAAAATTTAATTACCATCAACAGTCATCTGAAAAGGTGAGCTCGAGATCCTTGGAGAATCCAGAAAACTGAGTAGCTGGAGCGGGTGACAAACTCCAGAATTGTGGGAAAACTTCCTTCGGATATGCGCGACGGATCCGAGCCTACCTGATGAGCATACCAATGGGGAAACTGCTTGCTTGCCTCTGAAAAACTGGAATTGAAAGCTCCCAAAAATCCACCTCACCACCTGATGTTGTTCACTCCCATTATCAGAAAGCAGCCTAGCATTGGTTGGTGAAATTGGGGCACCCTGTGGCTTCGGAAACAAGAGAATACCAAAACCCTGTCGGACTGCTGTTCCTGACGGACCCCCATCGGCTTTGGTTAAGGTGGGTGAAGTCTTCAATCGGTGATAGTTTCACTTATTCATCTATACAAATCTAAACAGACTACCCGAACAACTGGAATGATTCATTTATAGAGCGGGTCACAACAAGCGTGCTCGGAATAAGTGTGGCATTCCCATAGGAAGCAGTTTGACCCCATTTGTAACCTGCCGTTGGCGTTGGTTTTGATGTCGTCTGACAAAGGCCAGTAAAAAAAGTCTCGGGAATGGCAAGCTGGATTCCGGATGGGAGAGGAATGCCTGAAGTACATCTTTACAATCATTGAAGTGTTGGGGGCACGGCCCATGCACAGGCGCCTTACTCTACCTGATATTATTTAAATTTAAGGGTCAACGACACGTTTCGGTCAACTCACAAGTGCAGAAAAAGTTCGAGAATGTCCTCTTCTGTTTGTATTGACGCATTTGTGGGTTCGAGGGAATATCTGGAGCGCCCAATGGCTTCGTGCTTGCTAAAGCTGGTGCAAATTCTGCTGGCATCTGGATCCCTGCTCCACCCATTTGACACATCAGACAGGTATCTCGAAAGTCCTCTGTGAACATCAAGGAAGATTACTGCAACCGTATTTATAGGTTCATTACAGAATGCTCCATGAGGTCGCGTGGAATCTCTGGGTGTGGAGATGCTCGATTCAGATTGGCCGACATTCTGACCAATCAACGCATGACTCCGTTTAGTCGATAGCCCACACAAGACCCAGCCATCTAACCGGTTGGCTTGCTGACGGAACGCTTGGTTACAAGCAATCATGGCCGGCGAGAGTATCTAGTAGCTCCAATTTTGTCTGATTCGGCCAATAAAGAATCAATGAGGTGATTTCCGAAAGGTCCCAAACCTAACATTTCAAAGCTCTCCGAGCAGGTACCTTATTGACCTGGGGTTTGCAGACGACATTTTTGAGGGATGGCAAAAAGTACAGGCCTTACTAAAAGACCGGTCAAGGCCATGCCTCGCATCCTTTGCACCCAGAAAATGTGGGAGTGTGCCTCTGCGTATTTAATGGAGCATGCTGGAGCCGTTAGGACGCTAAGTGACTCGTAAGTTGAATTAACTCCGACAGTATTATGGCTGTCAAAGTCGAGCAATAATATCGAAAGTCAGGACTGTTTTTGCCACCCTTTGGCCACGTGCGGCATCAAAAAGACCACCGGATCTCAAGGGATGCCTATGTCCGACCACAATGCGGGTGGAATTTTTGCATGGCCTTGTCTTAGCCACTTCGGATGGAGGATCTGGGACAACAGTTTTCTGGCCACCGAGGTATCAAGACTACAGCTGGAATCGTCTGAAACCATCTAATCCGGAGTAGGGGGCTTAACGGGTCTTTGGTGGATTGAAAGATGTTTCACTCAACGAATGCATTCAGCACTACCGACCAAAGTGGCTAGGCAATGTGTTGAGCATTGAAAGCTACCAACTGCCGGGAAGGGTATTGTTTTCTGTGCCTAGTACGAAGTGGCGAATAACTAAAAGTGGACAGAACATAACATTCTAGAATGGAGTGAAGGGGATGAAAAATGTGGATGATTTTGATACTATTCGCTTTCCATGATGTGCTGACTATCCTCTCTGTGATTTGCTCAAGACACTGGAATAACTGGCAGCTTATCAATGTTAGCGTATTTCACATTGTCTGACTGAGCTTTGGCGGTGTAAGTAGACAAACCTATTTTTCCCGTTTATTATTTCCATTCTAAGGTTTTATTCGGCGAAATGACATGTATGGCAGTGCTGCTGTCAGTGATGATCATGTTAATGTTGATAACACCAAGTAGTGTGGATAATATTGCCCGGTGGTTTGGTACGCGCTTCGTAACTTCAAAGTGCAAAACGATACTACAAGCTTGGGCGAGTGCATCATGAACCTGTTCATGGTATTATAACCGCTAGAGTTGTTCGACAACTACTCATTTAGGTAGTTGTATTACTTGGGATGCCACCGTTGCTGAAGGAATGAGTGCTAGAATCAATGAAGCCTGTTCTGTCTCCCTTCACCCTTGGCAGCTCTGGAGCCTGGGTGGCGTAAGCCTGTTTCTATGGGGTAGGGCCTAAAACGCGAGAGTACTTCTAGTATTGCTTTACGACTACAAATGTCGGTCATAATGCGCTAAGGCCGGAAAATTGACAGTGATGTCTCCGAATCATTGCATCGGACTACCGTTGTTAATTATGAGTTATTTTTGACGACTAGTCAGCTATCTGTCGACTGGATGAGTCGATTCAGTGCACTGAATATACCGGCATGACAATACACTCTTACTGTGTAACTGGTCACCTTGATTTACTGGAACAGGATTCGACTGCAAGACAACGCAAAATGAAAAACGCAAGACCTGTAGACGGACGATGGAATAACAAAGGGTCCTGGTTGCACTAGTGCAAACTGTCTACGATACTAGGGTATCAATGACCCACCACGTCAATGTTTGGGTATGCTCACCGTAATGAATGTGTCACGCAACCAGTGGTGGTGTCGTACCTATTCTCTATGGCCAATAACGTGCCTTTCATTTTTTTGTTTTCGTGTGCCTTATCCATCCCACACTATCCGCTACCATAGGCCGTGGCAACCCGGAACACCGTATATATACACGCAGCTCACGATCATCGAACTTTACCCAGCCGAAAACTTCTAGAATGTCGCGATGCCAGTGAATAATGTGCTCAATGCACCTGCGAGTATATGGAGCTTACCAACAGAAGATCTCGGAGAATGGATAGAGTGTCGCAGCCGTCCTTACTCGACGGTCCCGTTCTTATTCTTCCGGTAGATTACAAAGACTTTGTCTCTGCCTAAGAAAACTCGACGTGGGACTTTGAATTGATGTCTGAGGAGGAACGTATACAGTCATCCGAAAAACCACCGGCATTTCAAGATCACCGAAGGAGCACGTGGCGGGTATTAGAACCGTAAGGTAGCTGGCCTAGACTTGCACGTGTCCCGCAAAATGCCTCATATCGGCCGCGATCGAGTGCCGCCCGTGGCTTGGGCAACAAGCTCTGAAAATTGATGACATTCTAGCGAATTCAAGGAGGTCAAACGGTGTGGCAACTACAGTTTATGGAATGCATGTCTCAGCGACTGATGTATGTTTTTTGGCACAAACCTGACCAGCTCTGAGGAACGCTGCTGCCCAAGAGACCGACACCTACGTCTTGGGTAAGCGGAAGCGGGTATTGGTCATGAGCGTTGGTGCATATTATGGGCTGACAACTAGATCTCCAAAATTATCTTCGGGACTGTTTGTAATGAAGCTCAATGGCATTTTTAGAGATGTATTATTCTGAATTGATGAACATACTTAAATTCGACTTTTGTCACACGTATTTCATCAGATGCGAGTCAGCCCGACCGGCACGAAACTGGTGCACAAGTCATGGCAATATTACGGGCAACGTTTGTGACGAATGCATTGTTCCGTTCGACGAACGAATGAGGTTGGGATACTCGGCGGAGGCGGTTGAAGTCGCCGTCCATGCCTAGGGCGAAGTGCTCGGGACCTTAAGGTCGGTTTCAAGGTCAGCAAGTATGCAACAGCCAGCAGGTGGAAGTGGCTTTGGAATCGGTTCCCACAATAGCGAAGGGGACATTGGCGACCAATAGGACCGACGCCGGAATCCCAGATATCCATTAAGGAGGCTGCCAAACAAGTATGGGGATGGCGCTGACTACTTTCAATAGCTGGTGGAACGTCACGGGCGACCAAGCTAACCGCGGTTCTAGTATCGGTCACATATTTAGATATTGTCCATCATGTAGAACAGGTGACTTGCGGGGACGGTAGCGGAACTCACACCCACCGCCTCATCTCTGCGGGGTGAACTGTGGCCGCACGGTAACCGGCACTACTGAGTTTCGTCGTGGAAGCTTGAATGATGCTAAAACAGCAAGCCGGAACAAATTGGCGATAGTTTGTTCGTATCAGAGCCACAGGGTCGTGACACTCGACGGATGGTATCGGCTGACTGCTCATGGCCTTGGTAAATAAGGGAAACTGACGTAATATAACAATCTCCATCCACGTTGCATGAATTGTGGAGGTCGGCCGGCGTGATATGGCCGTTGTGGGGTGTGCTCGGTGAAGCGAGGGGAGTTATTCGTGGGATACTATGGGATGGCTACACATGTCACCTAACGTCCCGAGGTTTCGTCAGCCAAATCTGCAGCGATTGAGAGCGACTTGTGCTTCGTGGCTGTCAAAGCACCCTGCGTGTTCTCTGGGAGTAGCCGCTTCCATAATCGTTCAGCTGTAGCAGGGCGAGATGGCCCAAGTGGTTAGAGCGCGAATTTACTGACCGGAAGGTCCGTGGTTCGAACCCGACCTCTGCCACTCGACTTCCCCTGTCTAGGCTTGGGTGACCTGACAGTATCCCAGCCCTCGTGCCTCCATCGTGTGGCATGGCAGCTAGGCGCCGAAAGCCAGAGGGGAGCACGAGGGCTGGGATACTGCCAGGTTGCCTAAGCCTAGATAGGGGAAGTCGAATAGCAGAGGTCAGATCTGAACCATCGATCTTCGGTCAGTAAATTCGCGCCCTAACTACCATCTCGATGAATAACTCCTTTGTACTCAATCTCCGGATAAGCTTTCCTTGACCTTTACACCATGTCGGACCCTGATAATCGCAAATTACTATGGACAGGCTCTGTAGCTGATGCACCCGAAAACCCGCGATTTTTTATTGAGGTGTACCACTCATTAGTCAAATCCGGCGTCCGGAAGAGCTGCGCGGATACCACTGAGTTCGATGTTGTATCCGGTGTGCCACAAAGCTTTACAATATCGTCGTCATTATCATTGGCAGCAGTACACCAGCATTACATACCGGTGCTTAACTACCATGCAGTCGCAAGGGAAGAAAGGGTGGGGTAAAATGGGAAGGGTAGGTACTCAGTGCGACTAAGTTCTATATCGGTAAGGAAATTTTCTAGAATCCAGTGGCTAGAGTTTTGGACGGCATTAAGATACACACCTGAGGATTATGTAGACTTAGGACACCATAACCGAAAATAACGTTTTCTTGGGTAGACACTGGTTGGGTAAAATCTGTTAAGTTTAGTCTGCTTCTCTAACGGGTTCGTCACCAGTACCTGACTCGCTGTTATTCGTCGGGCTGCTCACCGTTAGCCTTCCTGGCAGGTTTGAACCTTGAACTGCTTTCCACCGGTATAGCTCGACTACTACAGCAAGGTAACAAATTAAGGTTGGGGCCTGACCAAATGTTTTGAAAAACAGAACAGGAAGGATGTTTACGGACCTCTGGAAGAGCTGATTCATCCACAGAGTCAAGGCTTCCTTTAAATGTGGGGAAGATCGCGATTGTTAGTAGATGGTACTTAAGGCGCTGTTCAGGCACTCAATGTAACGTGAAGATATGGTCAATACACCCCCTCAGTTTGTAGTCGTGCTTGCTGCTCTCGAATTCGCGTCTCAGGTGTCGCGTTACAATCTTAGAGCCAGCAGCCGTTTTGTGATTGGCATGAGACTTGTACTCACATGGTTGGAAGGCGGTTGAACACAGGTAAGGCCAACGATTGGCTTCCATTCTTCGGGGAACTTTCTGGTTCTCAAGTATGTACGAACGACCTCGTCAAAGGGAAACTTAGCTTCACAACACTAGTGTAAGCTTTTCTGGTCGAACAGGCTGGTGGTGCTTTAAGATGGAAAGGCATATTATACTTCGTCAACTAATGAAGTATAAAAACTCATGGACCGCGGATCAAAATGAGTGAGTCGGGTGAAAGTCAGGCACAAGGACGGGGTTCAACTAAAGTGTTGTTGAAAATACCCCGCCCAGCAATCTAGACGCTGGTGTCTATTATATATTAGATTTCTAATATTATTTTTGACTAATTCACTTACGGACTACCTTTTTGGTTTTATTTTGTGAATTAGCTGTAGCAGCTGTCGTGCATTCCCGGGTCCATTGCTCCCTTCCACCACGCCCCTCTTCACACAGGCTACTTCTGATCATTAATCTAATTGATCCTCCTGCCGGATTGTACTTCAAGCAGGAAGGGATAGAATGCCTCACACCAAGGAGTGATATTGACCGTTCTGAGATCTGATGGTTTTTGCGCACGTCCTCCAGGACACCATGAGCAGAGTTTCTGACATAACTTATAGACGCGATTGTGTCGTTCGAGTTCCGGTCAGTGTGTCACGATGAGGCAGCTTGTACAGCAAGATTTATCTTTTTCTGACTTATGGTTCTCAAATTTTTTCTGTGACTAGATTAGGAGCTCGTTTCAAGATTCACTGGGGAGGTTAAATGAAAATCCGCACCAAATTATTGTGGTCTATGTCGGCTTGTGTGTCACAGAACGAGCAGCAATCAAGGTCTGAGCCACAGCATTGGTATCTGATACCGGTGGTCGGTAGAGGGCAGCAAAACGTCCCTCACTGTATCTAAGCCCAGTACCACTAGAAAACAGCTTTTGACCAGTACAGACTTGCAAGGAATGTTCATCGCCATAATTTCGTTTTGCGTTCGGGCCAAACGTACCACCAAGGTATGTCCTTGATGAGCAAGGGCATCCTACCTGTATGTTGAGGTATGCTTTTACTTGTTATATTCGAGCTCTTCGTGGTTGGTAAGAGTGATTAGTTTTCAGTGGGGGCCATCAACATTTACAGCAGTATCAGTGTTGATACTGATGCCTCATTGAGTTCTAGTGATATGTTTTTTGACGTTTCCAGCCATAAACAAGGAGGGTTGCGTGGGCTTGTGCGCAACAATTACGGTTGTCTACCTCCAAATCGTCGCCCGCAATTCTGGGCGCGGTGGGGTTCCAAGATATGAGTACGCTTTGGGCAAGGTCACTCAAGTCCCAAACTGTCCACTAGACCGCCATAGTAGGCGTCTATTCCCGCTACATGGATTTCGTGTGGTGTCTGAGTTGAGTAGTTTGGTCTCAGGCAAGTATGTGTAAGTGTATATAATAGTGAAGGTCGCACATAGTTATTCTCTGACTTTAGCTTTGGAGCTGCGGTACTTCTCCCTGTTTTCTGTTTCTTTGAGTGTTCTTTTTGCGGAGACTTTCTCCTCCATCACGAAGAGACTGGAGTTTATCATGATGTGATGGTTTGTGTACTTCGGTTACCCATTGCGCTACCCTGGGGGGTGTCCGCGCGACACTCAGTCTCGCATACCAGGTTGGTCACTGGTTATAGGTCTGACAAGCAGTCTCCTGGTCCTCCAACTTGGGGGTTGGAACATGTGTGACGACGTGTTCCGTAAGAATGGTAATGTGCTTACATTTTCAGCCAAACACCGCTGCCTTGTGGCCAGGCTTTTGAATCAAAGGCTTTGGTTGAGGACCCTAATTGCCCTGTCTAGGTGTGGGTGCCCTTCTAGTATCCCAATCTACGTACAACCATGAACTGCACATATTCGTGGCTGTACGGTAGCCAAACATCGGTGCTGAACACTGATATCATGCTGTCCATGAAGAGAATGACTTTTCCCTAAACAAGGAGTGAGTCTGTTTGATTGCTGCTGCCTACGAAATATTTACGACAGGAACGTTTGCGCGGTGTCATCGAGGCGGTGACATAGTAAAGCAGAGTAGAGGTGACTGCTGTCGAAACACATTCTGTGTGGTTTATCATCTTCCACATCTGTGGTCATTCTAGCTCATGAGTGGATTCCCTACAGGAAATGACATTGAGGTGATCCTATTGGCGAACAGGCTTTCATTTTCTAGACTACCCGAATCGATTTCATGTCATTGAATTTGTGGAGTGGGTGGTGTATGAGGATGCTGCATCAAACTCACCTAAAGGGTCGTTTTCGGACACTGTCCAATGTGAGGGTACCTTGCGTTCGCTTTGGTGCATTCTTCACAGCTGTGTTTGTTAGGATACTGTCGTTGGTGCCGATAACAAGGATGGTATCATTATGCTGGGCACTCCAGTTACACTAAGTCCATGTGAAACTTCACGGAGGCGTCCTCTGATGCAACTGTCGAAGCTGACGTACTGTTTTAGGGAGACAAGTGAATTAATTTGACACGCTTGTGTGATGATAGCTAAGCTTTGTTCAATTCTGAGAGAAAACATGAGATTTGACTGAACTAACCGATTTTTGTCAGGAAATCAACTTGCCCATATTTTGATGCCTTCTTATGCAACCATCTTGTCTCTCATCAAGGAGGCTTCTCTAAACAAAATATTTAACCGCCTTCTCCTCTGATTTTAGCTTTTTTGGCAACCTATGGCGGGTAACGAGTCAGTGACACATCTTTTGCCTCGTCACATTCTTGTCCAGCTGTATACGTAAGCAACATCTTTTTACACCAGCTTGTAGTCGTTTTCTACTCAATCTTCCGAATGAGCTGAAAGAAGAGTGTAACCGAAATTTTGTTCGCCTCTTTTTCGAATTGGAGCGCGCCCATTGGTTCTACTTGGACCACTACATTGAAGACCCGGCCGTGGGCGGTGTCGATATGTTTGGACTTGCAGAACAACGTGAGCGGTCTTCAAACCATTTCAGGTTTTACGGACTGTTCAGTGTTTAAAGAATTTCCTGATATCGTACCCATTGGGGTAAATTGGCAAGAGAAATATAAAGAATGGCGAAAATACCGGGGCGAGACAGAGACAGGCGGTGCGATTATTTTAGACGAATATTTTGAGATGGTAAGTTGGGCCTTACATAGGTTTTGAGCTAGTATTTTGATCGGTTGCATACGTCATGTCAGCATCTTTTTATCTTATTACTTTAGGTCCTCCTGGTTCAGGGTTTTTACGGGAATCGGTGGAGTTTTCCCGGAGGGAAGGTGAATGAAAACGAGTCTTTGATTGAATGTGCGTCTAGAGAGGTACGCTGTCTGAGGTAAAATGACTTTGTTCGCTGTTTTGAAGGTTCTCGAGGAAACTGGCTTGGACATTGAATATCGAATCGTTCCGTCGCTCTATATTGATCGAACAGTTAGCGGCACACTTCGACGCGCGTTTATTATTGAAAACATGCCGAGAATATCACGATTACAGCCTGGTACGCGGAACGAGATTGAGGCAATCACTTGGTTCAATGTGCAGGATTTACCAACACATACGCAAGATTCTCGACCGATCGAAAAGCTGAATATGCGGCCCAACAGCTTCTATCTTGTAGTTCCGTTTGTAAGGTGAGTGTTAACCTTGTTCTTGTTAGTAAGTGACTTCCGTTGTCGAAAAAACTCCTCCAATGGGTAGGAGTTAATATGCTTACGGAAAACAGACCGCAAAAGACTGGTCCAATCGTTACCGGAAGCGATCCAAATTTATCCATCGATGTCTTTTATGGCAATGGAAAGTGATATTTTACTCGAAAAAATGTTGAGAATTTGAAGGCTAGTGATGATAAATGAGGGTTTTGGTAAACTTTAAGTGGTAATTCTTCGTGTGGTTTTGCTTTTTGCTGTGGTATTTGGCCATATATGCGTCACCGGGCTCCAAGTGTCTTCCCTGGCTTAAATGTCATTGCGCTCCAAGAAGAACTCATTAAGTCTAACGAACGTCGTAGTTTGGCCCAACGGAAACAAATTGAGAATGCGCATTTGATAAACAAAACTAAGCAAGTCAAGTTTTTCACCATACAGTTTCTTGCAATAAGTTGAGTGTTGTATCACATCATGTATTGCCCTTCCTGGAGGATAAAACCGGGATTCCTAATCGTAATATCCAAAGTATTTGCAGAACAGGCAACCTATGTGACACACGGTGTCCTGCATTTTACGCGAAGGTTTACTCTCGAGGTTACAAAAAGCGACACTTGAGTGAGGTGACTTCAGTTTGCCCCAGTTCTGTGAAATTTTATGGGAAGTGAATTGGTGCCGACCTTATGCAGGTACTCTTCATCTCCTGCTAAGCTCGAGCTAGCTCAGTGGTTAAAGCGCGAATTTACCGACGGGAAGGTTCGTGGCTTGTGCTTTCTCGGGGCAGCATGACAGCTAGGCATCAGAAGGGCGTTACGGTTGTACTATTTTTCTCATCCTCTATTGTAGGTCATACTGTTACTACACACGGACGACTTGAACAATTCAAACGTTCGTTAGGTTCCAACCCGGACCTTCTGGTCAGTAATTCGCACCGAGCTATCTCGATCTCCAGACTTCGTTTCAGTCATCGGTGTGTTCCGCTATATTGTTCAACCTGTTCAACCAACATTCCTCATCCCATCACCGTTCTTCAGCTGTCACTGGATTTGTAAAATGGAGGGAACAAAGGAGTCAATGTAGGACCGAATATAGCCTAACTCCAGAGTCTAGTTGGATTTTGCCATTTACTGCTTGGACCGCAAGAATTCGGATTAATAGTTGAGCATTCCTGTGGCTTCTACTCCACTATCCGTACTTGTGTTCTGGTAAACGGAGTTCCAAACACACACCCCGCTGGTTGCACACTAATAAAACATTCTTGGTTCAACCCAGTTGCTCATGGTCACCATCATTACGTGCGAGAGTTAGCATCGAGGATCCGTTTCTTCTTCGATTGTGTAGGATAAAAAGCTATCAGCTGACCAGGTTTGAAATTCGGCATACGCCGTATTCTGTCGAACGATGGCCGAAGGCTGGTCCTTCCAGAAAGTCCGTCGATACGTTGAAATACCACGTTCGGACTTTATCTCCTTAACACTTGTATGTCCGACGAGCTGGGATGATATATCTTCATTATTTGACTGCACTAAAAGAGGAACTTAGCTGTTTCATATACCATCGGAATAAAGTTGACTGCGTGGTCATGTGTAATTTTCCTTGAACCTTTTGTTTCTACCTGTCATATAGTCTGTTCATGCTAATTGCCACTTTCTTACCGGTTAATCATACAGACAACTCCAAGAATATATTCGGCTACGCCGAACTGGCCTCTCAGCCCTGTCTGCGTTGGAAGAGTCAAATCGTCTTGCTGACCCCAATCGAGCAACGATGGTACCCTTACCAGTTGCCGAACCTCAACTACATAAATCTGTCCCAAAACGGTTGCGCTCAACATCAGGAAAAACGAGACCGTCCCGTTCACCCGGTCGGCCACAGGTTATTGGTGTCAAACAGCAGGTGACACAAAAACAACCGCAACAAAGGTAACTACAGCTGTTATCCCAGACAGCTACCGTCCTCTGTAAAGAAAAGGTCTTGTTAAAAAACCGGACCCCTACCAAGCAAGGAAAAAACACGCCTTTTTTTATCTTGCTAAAGAAAACTTTTCAACACTTGGTAGAGCTGTTTCCGACCCAGCTTACCTCTGGTCACTTCAGTTTGACCGTAACCATTTGGAGAGCTCTAGGTTTGACCGACCCATCGGTGAAAAGTTTTATTCATTTGGTGACAGGTGGAATAGCTTAAGGAGATTTGCGGAAGTCAACAAGCGCATTTTTGTGGTCTAGAAAAATATCGCAATTCGCTGTCGTCCTTGTGGAAATCGTCGCATGCAATCGTCGTGTGCGGTGTGTTGGTTTATGTGGTGTGTCGACTTTGCGGTCTGAAACAAAAATTTTTCTCGTTTCTATCCCTCAGTGAAAATACGTTCTGTGTGTCGTGTGCCAGATATAACTTAAGTTCTCAAAGCAGAGGGAATTGCTACATGGCCGAAGAATAACGGTCGTGGTGAGACGCAGGTTCTTAGAGCGCTGTTGAAGATCATTGTTTATCCACAATGTGATAACCGAAGTATGTTTCAACGTTTATTCAACCAGTCACCAGGAATGTCCTGACAAACAGAAACTCGTTCGATCTGACACGAAAAGTAAAGTAAAATACAAAGTTGGGAAATCAAGATATCAGTTTCCGCAAAAGAAGTCTGGCCCTTTATGATAGGCAAGAAGTCCCTGTCCAGTATGAACCTAATATTGAATTATAGCAGGTAATGTGGAACAGTCTTCCTCTTCTACAACAGAATCTCATCTCTCGGTCATTTCCGAGTGGCAGCTGTAGTTTATGAAGAATTTTCGGTAATTCTTCTCCATGTATTCGTTTGGTGAAAACTACTTATCGCAATTTTGACGTTAATCAAACTAAAAGGAGAAACTAGGTATGTGCTCCACACAAATAAGCAATATTGACCTGCCTAAATCCGGTGAGTGATCAGATCACAAGCTCCTGATCCGGATACCGATTTTTCAAGATCCTGGAGGTGGATACATGTAGATACACATATACATGTAAATTAAGCACATTTACATATCTCGGATGCGAATGGTGGCTTGCTTTGTCATTTTAACTCACGGTTGTTGTCGCGACATGTCTAATGCCAGTCCGTTTGTTTCTTTTAGGCCCAGCCGGACGCAAAGAAAGGAACTCCCCAAGGAGATCGATTTGAATGAATTTCGGGTGAGTCTGTTTTCCAGTCCTCTTTTTTGTTGCAATAAAACTGCCACTGTTTTTTGATTCCACTGAGTTGGACCAAGCAGTGTTGAGAGCTCTTCTTTTATTCTCTCTATGTGACAGTGATACCAGCAAAGCGAGTGCTAGAGCGTTCAAAAACCTGCGGTGCATTTATTTAGGTTTAGACAGTTATCGTAACCATGCTAACCGGTAACATCTACAATGCGCCCAGTATTACTTCGTACCTGTGACGTATTGTTGTCCTGCACTGAAGACAAAAAGGAGACTGCTCGCCTTTGACTGTACTCGACTTTCGTAGCTTTGCATATGCACTGTGAGAACAATCAGTTTACGATATCAAATTGCGATAACTGGCTGTGACCAACGTTCCAAGTGCTGATCATTTGGAAATGGGATATTGCTTAAACAGCTATCTTTTCTCGATCATGTAACTTCTTTCCCAAGTGGTCTGAATCCGACTTTGAGTGAAAACGGTCGGAAGATGAACCCGGAGGCGAAATGTGAAAAAGTTCAACAGCGGGCTTTAGTTCTTTTGTTTCATACAGTCTGGGCTGCTGCGTCATCAGTCGCTTAACACCCCCACCAACATAGCGAATTCCCGGTTATAATTACATTACTGTATCCACTCTCTTATTCATGACCCTTGACTCACTCTGTTTTGTCGTCTTACCTTCTGAATCCAACTGACACGTTTGTTGTTGTGCCATATCCACACCCACGTATTGGGGCAGACCTTTCCGATGAGCCTCACCTCTGAACTTCTATTTCTATAGAACCCAACGGCACGAAGCTGGATGTTTGATGAATTGGTCGCCGCTGTTCGGACGAATCTCGCCAGCATCTGAAGAGACTGTACACTCGGAAGTGTTTTCCATTAAAGATATTGAAACGAAATCCTTCCTGGTGCGAAACACAAATATTTCTCTCTGGCTAGGCTGAGTAGCACAGCTTCACTCTGCCTGACATTTTTTCGAGGAGCAATTCTTTGTATAATTACCCTAATACTTCGAGTGTACTCAGGTGTTCATATAGAGCAGCTGTTACACTAGTAGTTAGGCGATAAGCGAATTTAGATGAAGCTGTGACCACTTGGGCTGGATTGCTCACTTAGTTGTCACCATTCCTGAGATGGGTTCAGGCATCACCTATCAAGATCGATGCCAACAGGGCTAACGTTGACTCACGCTGAGTTAGAAGTTAGAAGTTAGTTAGAAGTTTCTCAAACGTTGACTAAGCTGAAGTAAAAATTAGAAGTTAGTTAGAAGTTTCTCACTCATCCTGTTGAATAACCCGTTTTTTCAAATATATGACGGCTGCATCACGTTAACTGAAGGTATTTTGACTTTCTATTTACCATCTGCATGACATTTTTGTTCCAGAAAGACCTCTTGTTACTGAGCGTTCCTTCTGCGGAACCGCTTGCTTCCACCCACACGATAGGAGAGTTATCTGCCTCCTGTTGGTCTAATGTCCGTCTACGTGGCGACGTCCTACTCGATTTGCTTACTTGTTCCTGAGATTCACCTCACTTCTTTATCATGTGAATTTCCATTTTATTAACGCAGTTCCTTTTTTACTTTCTGGACCACGCCTTTTCAGAATCCATATCATTCATTTAGTGATCCGGTAGACCATCTACTTCGATGTGGTCTTTCGTTTTTTATGGTTTGGAACAAACAATACTTAAATATAGGGTATGACCATGGGGAGTTTTTCTTTTGATTCCGAAACCCCAGCTTCTTACTTATCTGCTTGTTTGCAGTGTTTACTGGAATCTGGGTGTGCATATTTTTCTTTTCAACTAGTCTCTCTACGTGCATTACTGATTATGCCTAGTCTTCTGGCTGAAAACTACATTTTGGGGGCCGGAGCTAATTTTTATTTACTACGTAGCGTCTTTTGCGAGTTTTGCTGTGGACAGCATGGATTACTCAAGAGCGTTTTTAAGAAGATAATTTTTGTTGCGTCCCCAAAAATCAGAAAGGAATGGAGGAAAGGAGATCGGCGAGTAATCACACAGAGGTCTGTTGCAAGTCACCAATTGGCTTGATCGCTGCATATACTAGTGTTATCTGTCACTCAGTTTACCTGTTTCCAAATGACTGTCACATAGCCATGCATCAGTGACCTCCAGGGGCAGAAGACAGCTGTTATTTCATTCGTATTTGATAAACAGGTGGTGCGATTGCGCGCAGATCGTCAGAATTCCATCGGACTTCCTGTAACTTGTGTAGAAAACTAACCTTTTCACACTTGTTCTAAAGAGTCCAGGGCCACGAAATTACTGATTCTGTATAGGCGGGTCCTGCTGGTTGACATGTACGAGTGGATTTGTTGTGAATTGTTGTGTGGATTACCCGTGTCCGAGCGTGTAGATGCTGCCTTGGAACGCACCATGCCCGCCATCAAGCGTTCTTGAAGCCCTTCCTTCTACTGCAGTTTGGCCTTTGCCGTCGAGTTCCACTCTCCAACTGATCACACATCACTGCTTATTATTTGTCGCACATGGTCCTACCAGCGCAGCCAATCGTGGACGTCCCTATATCGATGCTGGTAACACAACTTTCTGTGATTGGGTTAGATACTTGTTGCCTGCTGTGGTTCCTAGGGCTCAAGAACTCTCTGTGGTGGTTTTATTTGACGAAAATCTCCATTTGTAAGCACCATTCCCTAGTTGAATATGTACTCTAATGAATGTTTCCCGGGTTGGCTGTCTGCGATGTCTTATTGAAGGAGATCAAATAGAGTTCTTTCTTGAATACAGTGCTCAGTGTTCGAAACAGACAAAAGCAAGCATGACTTTGCACAACGATATACTTTCTCAGACACGACCACAGTTGGCAGTCCTGGAAACTCCTTGCGCTATCTGTCGCACCCTTTCGATACCTGACTGCAGTGCAACCCGAAGGTTTCACGGGGGCTGGGATACCGCCAGGTTTCCCAAGCCTAGACAGGGGTAGTCGAGAGGCAGAGGTCGGGTTCGAACTACGGATCTTCCGGTCAGTTAATTTGCGCTCTAACCACTTGGGCCACCTCGCCCATCCTTGGGCTATAATCCCAGTCCATTCGTTTCCCCTGCTTGTCTTGGACAGCTTCTGGTTTACGTTCATGGGCTTTTTCCGTGGTTGTGGGATCACTTGTGGGGTCGGGGAGCGTCTGACGGTCGTCAGAGATCGGGCGAAATTACTAATCTGAAAAGAGCACTTAATTTTCGCATGAAGCGAAAGTTTGAAATAAATTATCGCTCTGAAGTTATAAGTCGATATAGTGTATACGTGGGGACCAGATGAATCTCCATTTTATGCATAGCATTGCAAAGTCCATATCAATGTTAATTTCGGCCAGTATTCAGAATTTCGTAGTATTTATCATTGGAACCGATCTGATGAATCCTAAGCAGGTCGAGATTAGTAGTGGGATGTAAGAATACTACCATATAAGGAAGAATAACAGTCGCATTAAGAATGCTATGGCTGTGTATTCGTATGCAGTTTTCTAAGCGGGAGTCTTTAGAATTCCCGATCCCTCTGAAACTCGTTGAAAACCACTGGGCTGAGGTTATCCAAACTGGATAGTGAGTTTTACTTTTTCATTTGTATTTCAGCGCACCGTGAATGTCGCATAACGCGTCCTCACACTCTTTAGAGCGTATTAATCCGTTTGATCAAGAGCAGGATGTGGTAGATGCTCAGTGCTCCGACATTTGTGCTTTGTACAACGGTAAGTGTGCGTCTTCTCCGCTTTTAACCGGGTTTATGCAGCACCGGTCGCAGCTGCAAGCGAAGCACCAACTCTACAGGACTTTACTGATCCTGTGCAGGAGGATTTTTTCGATGAACCTTTGGTAAGTGGTCCACAATCGTTGGTGTTTCTTTGTGTATCAAAAGCGCCTTCGCACCTGTCGGCGTTTTGATGCGGAACTTGCGTGCCTTCGTGATAGATTATTTTGGAATTACCCAAAATCATCCTCTTCTTGAAAGTTCATCATTTTCTGGTAGAGAATGCAGTTGATATCTCAACAGAGACACTAGATGCCTGAAATAAATTGGGATCACAGCGCTTGAGTATGCTAGTAACAACGAATGAATGCCTCTTCGATGATTTTGCATTGTGTGGTTGGGACAGATCGATACGACTGACATTTTCGGAATAAAAGTTGACAACTACTGATGCTTTCCGGGTGTTTTAGTCAACTCAGATTTGTAGCTTTTTCCGAAATTGACTTCTGTTGCTGCTCACGTGACTTGGTTTCGGTGTCCATCAGTTTTGTAATATCGTACTCCACACGTAAGCAAGTTGGGACTCCTTAAAGAGTTTGCGTATTCACTAGCTTCACAATTCCATCGATGGTGAACTGGTACGATTATGAAGTCTGTCGTGCGCACAGCACTGCTGCATGATCTGTATTATAACCGGTTGCCGGTAACTCGTGGATGGTTACATTGTTTATGCCAACTGGTTGTCACTCCTCACGGAGCACATCGTAACTCCCAAGTTTTGGCTGGAAGTTTCTCCAGGTATAACTCGGGTGTGTTTAGGTGGAGCAGTAACACAAGCACGTTGCCGATAGCTATTCCTCTAATATTTCAAGCATGAGCAAACACCCAGGGTTTCAGCAATTCAGGCGGATATGCATTCAATTGGTACATGCTGCTACGAATGCTATCTGATCACCTTAGACAAACGGAGGATGACAATTATGAATGCCGAATTTGGTGTGACGTCATACCGTTAGAGACCTTAAGGACGGGTGGTTCGAAGTATGTCAACATAGCGGATAATGAAGAGTACGAGACGAATGCTGAGACCTGTGGGAACGTTTCATGATAACCTTCAAATGAATGAATTTCCGCGGAAAAGCCTTTATCCTGCCCTCTGGCAGAACCCTGGGTTGCTGTCCAGTGTTCAGTAATCACATTTTTGAAGGGGATTGCTTTCCTGCGGAAAGAATCCTCTGCAGTGCTGAATAATACATTTTTCCAAAAACAAACAAACTGAACCAACAGGTATTCGGTTGCCACGTAAACGTGAGGATGCGATCACGCGTTCCTTAAGGACCCCCTCCTCGGGAACTACGTTCTGAAAGAGCTTAGTGTAGGTGATTACAGATGGTAATTGATGTATAGTATGTACCTATGTCCGTTGTGCTGCTTTCACACTTGAAATGGCTTTTAACTTCAAGAACGGGTTTAAAGGTTAATCAGCCACCAATAACCCTAGATCGCTATTGGCCTCCATCTCCCGCACGTAGTAACAGTTCCGTTCCCGCACCATCCATTGTCCGATGTGTGTTTACTACTCTGACCGGTGTCGATTTGTTAGTCTGTCTTCGGCATCAGTCACCTGTATACAGTAACCGAAAGCAATGCTACTTCTTTCTTTTCACTTCGAAGACATATTCGGTTGAACTACCTGTTTGATATTATATGCAAATTTAGTGTTGGCACTTGTCAATTGCCAAGGTTATTCATAGGTCTGTACGTGACAGTTGAGTTCACAAACGGCCACGTGTGTTGTTTGCTTAGCAGTTCTGCAAACTTTGTCGTGTTTGTCATGCTGATCCATTTTCAAGTGTGGTGAACACCTACGTTCAACGTCACGATGCCTTTGATCCTTGTTTCGTTCCCGTCAACTCACTTGTCACTGTTTCATCACTTCGCTCCAATCCTTTCAGATTAACGTGGACTCAACATCGGCAGTTGCGGAACTGGAGGATGCAATACTGCGTTGCAAACACATGGTACTGGCCGCATCAAATGAGGATGAAGCGAAACGCCAACGCCTACTCGATCGCCTGATCGAGTTGCGTTGCATATTGCACAATATCAAGGTAAACTCGATTGGTATGTGCATGCGATTTTCACTTCCGTAGTCATATGTTCTCAATTTCCTTGTCTACGTTTATTGTGTATTCCTGTGTGAACCACCAATCACACTCAATTTTACTTCAAGCCGATAATTATCATAATTACCGGTGGGTTTTACCATTAGTTGGCATTTTTCTCACAGTGATCCAGGTTTGTGATTATCTTTTTGATTCATCGCCACAGAGTTTCCTGGGAGTTTAATGCGAGTAGTCATCGATCCCGGATCGTCTTTCCAGCTAGTGTCTCTCACTGCTGGCCGGACATCTAATTTATAGAAGGAGCTCAGACCCTACTGGAACTGTGATTATCCGTTCCATTTTTTCACTGTTTAAGGTGGAGGTTGATCATCTAGGATATTCACTGAACTGCCCCATTGACGAAAAATCTGATGTTGAACTTCCGTGACCGGGCTCGATGCCGCATCACTACGAAAATCATGATGAACATTGTCGGAAACCTTTGGGTTCCATGTGACCCCCAACGCTTATTTCAAGCCAATCTAAACAGTGCGTCTTTGTCAGCCCGATTCAAGTGCGGGTTGTCACACGCCGGAGCTGCGAACCTCACCCCCCGAATATACTCCGATTGTCGGTGGTGTAATGATTTCAGTTGCATATCACACTCGAGGTGGCACCACTAGCCGATGGTTTTTGAGTAGTTTATATATCCCTATTTCGTACCTGACACGCAAAGCTAACCTGCGAACTTAGTGGTCACATAGATAGTTGTATTCTACGGTCCAACGATTGCTCACATCTGATTGTGCAAAGGCTAAACTGGGCATTCGAAAAGCAGTTTGTTTGATTCCGGGGATGGACCCCATATAAAGTCATCAATGTATAGACTGAGGATGTTCGCTTGAACCACTCAACCGCCAAAATGTGACGTTAAATATTACAGGAATGTAGTCACCCAAATGCACAAAATCACTGATCAACCTTTATACAAAAGAACAGCCAAGTTAATTCTTGAGACATTCCGGAGAACATTCCATTAGAAGTAGCTGCAGATTGACTGGTGTGAGGCCAATGTGGATACAGGACCCTTATTTATCATTACTGTGTAATAGCGACCCAGGCCGCAGCTCTTTTGCTGCCTAAACCATCCTTCTGTTCCCAAATCCACCGTGTGAAGGTCCCCTCTTAGGCTTCTTGTGGTCAAACTTCGACCAAGCCTACTCGCGTTGCTAGATGTGTCAGCTGAACGGCCAGTGAATGTCGCATGTACAGTGTGTTGGCAATGGGTGTGCTCGTCTTCACTATAAAGCTTGATAAGCTGCGAATATTCGTCAGTTTTCAGCAGATGTTGGATCCTCTGAAGTATCTCTCTGGCTTGCGGTTTAGACTAACCCAAACCAAGCACCCCTGGAGGGTACCATTGGAACATGTTTTTAATAGAAATTCCCGCTTCTGTTTCTGTCAGATGCTTTTCTGTCTACCGTATTTTCCATATACTGTTAGTTAAGCATCTGTCCTATCTGTTTGATGGTTTGCATCGAACTGGCAACACTTCGTTCTCTCCATCTCTTCAGGAAAGCGCCACAGGAATACCCAGTGATTCACCCACTTCACCAAGTTTCATCAACGGCCCATCTGAGCCTTTAATTTACGATCGTGGGAGCAGTGAATCTCTTCCGGCTGCATCATCTAAACGGTCGCTGACAACGCCATGTATGCAGTCTCCTAGAAACCATCGGGACTCTAGGTGTATTACTGGGCCGGGTGGCCATCAGTTTCGTCTTGTCCTACCGCTTCGTTATCTAGGCATGACATGCGAGCATTGTCTAGATCCGATCAGAAACCCATCGAAACGTGTACTTTCTTGCACTGCTTGTCACATTGTTTGTCACTCACAACTCTGCCTTCGTGGTCTTACTCGTCGCTGTCCGGCTGTAGTGGATAGTTCAGTCGAATGGCGTTTTTCACCCACTCCGATGTCCTCAAGACAGCACAGAAGGCGAACTTTGTCCAGATCGTTCAGAGTCGATCCAGCGTCTACTATTAGACGAACTCGTAGCGTCTGTGAGCCGGATGCATCTGAATCTCACTTGTGGGAGAATACTACCAAGTTATCACAGTTCCGCTCTCTCGAGGTCAGTAGACTCACCTATGTTGGTGCTAGTTTGTCAGCTCAGTGTTGGGCGTGTTTTGAGTGTCAGCAGCCGCTTTGCCCTGCACCCAACCGTACCGTTACACCTGAACGGTCTGTAATGACATCGCTGGTGCAAAGGGCAGGTAGTGTATTCGAATCTGGGATTGGTTTGCTTACCAAACAGGCAACTGAAACTGGGGGTGAGAAACCCACTAGCCACAGCCACTCCCCGCAGATATGTTCCCAGGACCCTACCTTATCGAATTTCAGTGCTCACTTACTTGGACCGAAAACAGTCAATATCACTTCAGATCCATCGTCGACTACATGTTTGAGTTGGGCGTACTCCTCCGCGCTACATGATCTTGGTCCACTACAAACCTGGGAAGATGCCCGAGTTCACGAGGCAGTTAATCGATTCAGTCGAATGTCGAATTCAGTTCGCCAACCCCGCTTGGTTGGTGGGGAGGTCCGGATGTATCAAACGACTAATGCTCGCGTCAAACAACAAGCAGAAGCAGCGTTGCGCCCTTCAAATGCAACCGAATTTGACGCTGCTCGTCTTTGTTACTACACTGGAAAATTTTACTGCTCCCGATGTCATTGGGGCGATTCTCATCTTATACCTGCTTGCATTTTTGTGCTAGGTGACAATCGTCCGAAGCCGGTGAGTTCGATTTCTTTATTACATAAACTGGATAATTTTTCCACCAAGCTACAACAGTTTTAATCATACATTGCTTCGATTTACATACGGTGAGGAACAAAAACATGGGTAGCAGCAACTTCACCATTGTTCAAAGAACATTCCTACCTTTTCGTAGAATTATCTTGAACGCTCTCTCTGTATCCTCATCGTGACTGCCTTCCATCAGCTGTTTTATTGTGGCATTCATTGGGTTTACCGTCTCAGATCCCTAAAGCCATATCCGCGTATCCATGTCACAAGTTGCTTCATTGTCGTTTCCATGTATTTGGCTCCGTAGAAGCAATCAAACTGACAAATAATATTTTGTTTGGTGGAACTGCGGACAAATGTACACCACAACGTCTGTCACACATGACCCACTCAAAACCCAAAAACCTTCGGTGATACTGCGTCTCCATAATCTTCATATCTTGATCCACCATAGGCTATTTCGAACACACATTTCAGCTGTAACACTTTTTGGTGCTTAGCTGCTATGCTATCCGAAGGAAGCATAGGAAGGGCTGAGATACTCCCAGTTTGTGCAAGCCAAGACAGGAGGATTAGAGATGCGGGGGTTGGATCCGAACCACGGACCTCCCGGTCAGAATGTTCGCGTTTTAATCACTGACCCACCTCAACCTCCTGACTGTGCGGTGGTGTAGCTCATTTGGGTTCTTTAGAGCAATGAAACTCATGAGTGTCCCTCAACTATTGTGGCCTCATCCAGTCAGTTGACCGACGCAAATGTGTCGATTCTACAATAACCTTCTGTATTGGAATAAAGAAGAGTGACATAGGCCACGACGGTCAGTTGAAGTAAAACGACCATATTGATTGGAACTTGTTAGACAAGTGGACCGATACCTGATAACTTTTGACATGTCATTTTACTGAAGTCAGTCGTTTGTCCACGTTCACTGCTGTGATTACCGTCTACAGCCATACGCACGCATCCACGCATCAATTATGTTAGTTTAATTGGATTGTGGGGTCGAGGCAGCGTTCTGGGTGACAGATATCCTTTAACCTTGTCTCTCTGACGGAGAAAACTGATACAGAGGGTGGGGCGGTGGTTCTAGTGCCGAATGTCGGATAGGAAGCGGAAGGCAGTTAAATGGCGATCCTAGTTGAATTCAGCGGAAGCGCCAGTAAGGGATAGTGCCGCTTTGATGAGAGTATACCAATATCGTAAAATGACCGTGTTTGAATGAGCCTAATGTCGGAAAATTTCGTGAGTCACACGTGAGCAGTTTTGAAGGATGCCAACTTAATATTCTCACTCGAATTGATGAATTTCTGTAGTAACAGTTCCCCTTTGTGGTAGTCTCTAAGCGAGGCTCCTTTTACTTTGTTGCTGTCAACAGAAATATAGCAACCGAGCACTCGAGCTCGGTTTTCTGGTGTCATAACGGATATGGTCACAGTCACTTGATTCAACAATACGAATGAAATGAGCTTTCTGCCGACTTATTTCAGGCTTTGAGGAAACTAGATCCGAAAAGTTAGGTTTCCTCAAAAACATCATTTGTTACTACTGAGCGGTCGCGCCCAGGGAAAACGTGAAGGGCTGATGTATTGGTAGTGAAACAATAGACCGCTTCAGCAACCGGAGTCTCATGGCTTCGCATAGCAAACGTTAGGAGGAGTTTGGTAAGGCCATGGTAAACAGTACGTATGCGTAAGTGAGTAGGAAGTTTAAGTTTACGTTGTCGAACGAATAGGGGAAAGGAATACATCCTGCAATTTGTATCTTAACTGCATTCGAGTTTTGCAGGAGGAAAGGAATTCCTGGTCATTCGGGGAACCAGTCAAAAAGGGACAATGAGACGTGGATTGCATGTGGACTGAACGGCTTTATGCCCTTTCAAGTGCAGGTTAGTCACAAGTGGACTGCCACCTGTAGCTGTCTTCAGCTACAAGGCCAAAAGAGACATCAATTATGACGGCGAGGCAGCTTCTGGGCTTTGTATCGCAGGTCGACTTAAAAAATCTACTAATCAATTATGAATATACGTGGTCTAATCAAGAATGAAGACATCGCGCAGGTCTCATTGATGTTCTCTGTTGAAAGACGTCGCTCGTGTAACAAAACAGCACCGAATCACGTAACATGTGTTACTTGATTAAATACCGCATGGTGCTATTTCGACTGCTCACCAAACACACGCATTGTTAGTGGTGAATCTTCTATCTGAAGCTCGCATAAACTCAGTTTTCACCTGGCGTTGTTCTGTTCAGCGGCCCAAAGACACCAGGCTAAACTGTACCTTTTCTCTTATGAGTCCCTAAGAAACAGCCAAAATTAGCCGTAATGAAGAACTAGGCACAGTTCGTAGAGACCTATTTTTGAGAGCCTGTCTATCCTTTTTTACGCGTATTCATACGATCATATTAAAGAGGTCATTGAATCTAGGGTCTACTGTGCCTAGTTTAAATGTTCTCCTGACCTCCCAAAGTGTGGTCCGTGCATGTTGAAACAGTTCCTGAATATTCGCACTAAAACGCCAGACTATTGATACAATCCTTTGTCAGCCCAAAGTATCTATTATTATGTGTTGTCCTTTGAGAACCACATCAGTCTGTCACAGACGTTTACGTAACCTACATGCCGTTGCTTGCGCTTCAGTATTTCACTCTTCTCCACTCGTCCGATGTTACAGGTCTGCCGGTCTTCTTTGCTATGGTTAACTTACTCCTGGTCGCGTCATCTGTTCCGTGTTCCTGACGCTTGGTATCGATATGAGCCACATGCCCGAAAATTTTGCTCACTTCGACTGAGGGCCTTCCGACTTCGACCATATTTGGATATCTGTGATGCTATACGGGAATTACAGCGAACTTCAGAGGTAATGTCTGTTTTTTTGCCGGCATCTTGTTGACTCTTACGATTGCTTCTATTTCGTTCGTTTCACTTTGTTCGCTTAACAAGTGAGGTGGCACAAGAGAAGAAATTATCCTCCACTACGCCTTTTTCGCCTTCCCCTAAATCATTTATTGACTTCCAAATATGAAAACAGCGAAGGTTCGTTGCAATTTCTGCACAAAAGTTCACCTCTCGTTTTTTGAGAGTATGATTGATTAAGTCGGTAATAAACTTCTCAGTCAGTAGCAATACACTAGTTTTATCACAAGAAAGTGGAAGTATCTTAACTAAACCTATTCGAATTTGTAAGTGATGATAATGAATGTAGCAAAGGTATAACGCTTAAGTATGAAAGACTCGTGACTATCTTGCGTAAGTTCACAAGCCCCAACTCACCCATATGTAACTCACTATTCTGATGGGGAACCATAAACGGTCCAGACATTTCGTTCGTCAAGTTCATTGGAGACACGTAACGACGGCTGTATCGTTGGAACATATTTAGAACTCTGTAGGCTCACACTCTCTGTGTGGATAGAGTCTCGTATTCAGCGTTTTTCTGTTTGTTTCAGTACAGCCGATTGTCTGAGGCTCCGTGACATTGGTTTGATGGCTAAATGTGTCACATTGGTGATTTGTGACCTGGTTGGACTATGCTGCAAATGTGCAGGCTTTCGCATCGGTGGTATCATGGTTACAGTGCTGGCAGAGTTTTGACACGATTCGGCGCCACGGGTCGACTAGAATGAGGGCTATTGTACTGTGTGCACTTCCCTCGTGTGTGAAGTCAAAGGTTAACAGACAGGTAGCTCAAAATAACCCTTACTTGTCGGAACGCTCGGATTGGACGTGCTGAATTACATCCCTGGACCTAAAGAGCTGTCATCAATAGCCAGGCCTTGTTTTGGGCTCAATTGGAGTGGGCGGCTTCCTGGCCTGCAGCAACAGGGAAGCTTGCAAAGAATCGGTGAGCTTATACAGGCTTCGGAGCCAAAACCGGAGCAACCAGCCGTTCGCGTGTCGATCGACCCTGTGGCGGTGTGAAGTTTTGTGTGCCTTCGTGACTGTACTGTACTATGGATTGTCTTCGTAACACTCCCAGACTCTCATACCGGGTTGGTCAGTGGCTAGAGGCCTGACCAACTCAGTCTCCTGGTTTTTTAGTTTGGGATTGGAACATGCGTTACGACCAGTTCTTTAAGAACGGTAATTCACTGGCATTTCACGCCAAACACCGCTGCCTTGCTGTCAGGTTTTTGAACCAAAGATCTTGGATGAGGATCCTAATCGTCATTCTGTCTAGGTCTGGGTGCTCTGGCAGTTTCCCTGCACAGATACGCTTATGAACTTCGCAGATAAAACTACCTCCGTGCCACATAGGCCATCGCGTGGTGCCATCAACCGGGTCTACTTACCTACTGCATATAGCCGAGCGAGTAAACAAAATTAGGTTACTACTGACCGTCTTTACTCTCTCATTCGCATTACTGACACTCGTTGCAGGACCTTCTGTTAGGAGTGACGACCCTGTTCCTCTTGCATCGACATTGGTCGCAGTATCTGCGGGGAATCCAGCTCAGACATCCTCAAGCATCTTAAAATCAAGATTCCAGCACATGCATTAATTTTAGTGCCTCAACACTCCACTCGCTTTCAGCTGTGTTTCTGGTGATCCAGAGACGGCTGCGGCGGGATGTGCGAGGGCCGTTATAGCCGTGATATATCTGGCAAGAGAATCTCTTCTTGACTTTACACCCGCTGTTAGTCGCCTCCATTTGGTTCGTCTGGCAACATCCCTCGTTTCCTTTTATAACTCCTTAAATGCCCTGTTCCGGTAGACAAGCTCAGATATCGTTGTGGTTACCGGAGATTTGAATACACAGTTGGGTAGACGTAGTGCATCTGAGGCTCGATTGGGTAGTTGATTGAGATTCAACTCTGTGCACACGAACAGTGTCGAACGACTACTTCAGTTGTGGGTTGATCGCAAACTTCTTATGTTGTACTATCCTCTGAAATAACCAAAGTCGTCTGTCTCCGTGGAATCCTTCAACAGCATGTCAGCCGCGGACCCAAATGAATCACATCGGTTACTATCGCTATCGGTTACCGATAGCGCGGATCAATCACTGACTGCCACTCATTTTGGATTTTTGAATGCTGGCATTTTGCTCGTCCAGAGTGGCTTTTCTGGTCGCTTACTAGGACCACTTCAGTGACAGGCAACTCGCTAAGCAACTGAGAGACTGGTAGACCCTTAAATTAGAAAAATTTATCGGAACCGTCTTATGCACTGTCTTTCAACGTTGGATGTTAATTCATACTTGAACGACATCGCCATATCTGTGCGGATTACCAGGAGTTCCGTCTGTGGCACGGTGCTGTTAGCTCCTCTCAAGCACTGGGTATCCGACGTAACAGTGGCACTGCTTGATTCTCGGAGAAATGTGTCCGCCGGTTCGGAACATAATTTGGCCCGACAAACTATCAGACCTTAAGTGAAACTTAACTTGTGCGACTGTGAAGCCCATTAGACAGGGAAGACTAATGCAAGGGGAGAGTCATATAATACCGGTAACACCCGAAGATTCTTTCACTTGATACTGAGTCTGTCGAGTTCGATGCGGAATTCCATGCTTCTAAGACCCCAGCGTGTCATCGGCTTCCGTATTCCGTTTCCGAGAGTGAATTCGTGTGCTTCTTGATCGCCACCTGTGTTTTAGCACCAGGGATATGCATACTTCAAATTTGATGGACAAATTTACCAACATATGTAAGGATCTCCAATGTCATCGCCCATATCCGGGTTCATTGCAGAGGAAGTAATGCAGAACAAAAGTACATCAAAATATGAATAACCAACCCCAAACCATTCATTCGTCATCAGGAAACAATCTGCAGTGCACACACATGGACTGTTCAGCGCTATATTCGAATACGTCGAATTCACCATGGAACTTGAGGAGAACAGTCAGTTTTCATTCTTGGATGTACTGGTTAGTGGGACTGCGGATGGGTACCTTCAAACCTGTCTTTCGGAGGAAAACAGACGCGCTATGGATACTGAATTACTACAGCAATTATCCAATGAACTGCAGAAAGCGTTGCATCCAGGCTTTTCAGCAGAGAGATAACACTGCGCTACAGGCGAACTTGCACTAAAGAAAGAAAATCATTTATTTCAAAACAAAGCTACACTAGAGATTTCACCTGAAGAAACATGGGGAAAAGAACCCCCCGACAGCAACGAAACGAAAACATGAGTAGACAAACAAAAAGGTTGTCCTGCCGTACGTCAGAAGCGTATCCGAACTCACAGCATGGCCACTACAGCCAAAAAGATTCCTGATAGCTCACAAACTGGTGGCTTCATTGAGAAAGTTCATTTCAAGACCGAAACGACATGGTTGTCGTCTTCGAAGAGGAGAACAAGGTACAGGTATTTTTAAATGAACTACTTAAACTCATCCCGTCCCTTGGCATTTGCTTTGCACCCACAGTGTGTAAGACCATGCTCCTGGACATACACTCACTGAACACGCCGTCTACAATCCAGGGGATAGGTATTGAGGTTGTGGGGCGTTTCACGCTTCTTGGAAGTTGTATAGATTCCGGTTTTGTGTGACAGGTGAGTCATATATATGAATCTCTCACGCCCGTTTGCTATGGCCACGGGGCGGCCTGTCGCTGAATTTCGAGGGACGTGTGTGGCAGACTACACTACGCATGGCTGAGACATGGCCTCCGCAAGATGCCGAAATGAGACATCCTCGGGTCTTCCGCAGTTGATATCTCCGGATCATTGCTCGTGTAACTGATGTCGAAGAATCCGCAACGAGTGTTCAGTTGTGTGACTGTGACTTCGATCAAAGCGTGGAGTAGGCACCAACATCCGTGGTGATTAGACTATGAATTGCGCATGCCGAATCACCGCTTGTCGAAGAGAGCACTGTTCTTGCCCAATTCATAGTGACACGAGTAGAGTAGTGGCCACCTCTGGTCTGGCGGAGGGGTATGACAGAGACTACGAAAGGTCTGGGTACTATCGGTGCGGCTCGCATTCTAGGATGGGATTCGCATGATCCGTTTTGTGCACGGTTGGAGACGCTGCAATCGATGTTAACAGCGTTGCCAGTTTCCAGTGTCTGAGTGTGTTTGGAGGAACGGTACGGTAGGTTAGCACGTGTTTACTTCCCCATCCGCTTTTATTCTTTCCACAATATGGCTTTCAAATACATCATGGTTGCACGGCAGCGAAGCCCGCATAGTCTTACCCTTTTTTTACAGATTGTCAGCCTGATAATGCGATTAATAATCGTTCAGTTTTAATGCCCTTTCGATGCATAACTGCCATATCACCCGAAGAAAGCAAGAGGGCTGAAATACTGCCAGGCCGCCCAAGCTTAGACAGAAACAACCGAGATACAAAGGTTGGGTGCGAACCACGGACCTTCCAGTCAGTACATCTGCGGTTTAACCACTGAGTTACCTCAGCCTACATGCACCTCGTTCAAATTACAAGTAACGTCTGAACGAATTAATCTTCTTGAAGCTTTCTCTGTCCAGTTGGTGCACGAAATATCACAATACCGGTCTTGTTCAAAGTCAACATATTAACAGTCTCTGAAGAAATTGGGAGGCCTTGTTTCCGAGGGAAAGACAATTTTTAGGACGACCAAAAGTTGAATTGAGAAATTTTGGAACCTCAGATTTTGATTTTAAAAAATTAACGTGGGCTTTTTACTGTTTGCTTTAGCCTTTCGAACGTGGAGCACCAATCTCTATGTAATGTAATCAAATGCCTGACCCGAAATGTATCATAGACAGTAACCTAGTTACAGGCGTATAGGGTAGGCGGGTTACACAAACCTTGTCGACTGTTAGTTGTGATCGAAACCAAATAGGCTCACAGTTTAGTTTGTTATTTTGATGCATTTGATTATGATGTTTTCCAGCTAAACCTCCGAAGGACACAGGAACTGAGTAAAGATATTTCGCAGTTATGATCTCGATTGTGAACGTGTACTGTTCCGTAATTCGATTCTCAGGCCTGTTATTCCCTTCATCTGGTTGACTTTGCAGCTTTTGAGTCCTTCCTGGCTGTTAGAACAACCCTATACTTTCAACATGGCCGTTGTCATTCAAGTACTGGATGGGACGATTATTGATCGGCTGCAGAAATTTCTTTCCTTGGTCGATGATCACGTTCAGTCATGTGATGTAAGTCAGATAGCCATGATAATAAGAATCTATAATTTTTCAGTAAATAGCACTTTTCGGAATTGAAGTAACTGTGAAAGTAATCAGCTCAGATGATCACGGTCATGTGATGTAAGTCAGATAGCCATGATAATAAGAATCTATAATTTTTCAGTAAATAGCACTTTTCGGAATTGAAGTAAGTAACAAAGTAATCAGCTGATCGTATTAGGCAATTCTGAGAAATGGCTTTATATATATATATATATAT